CAAGACCGAGATTTTCAAGAAGTCAGAATTGTCAAAATAACCTACCTATCAAAACATTGGCAGACAAACATTCTATATTTTGAAGCAACCGCGTAGATATGTCTCTCTCTATATACTTTCACCATTATATTTTTGTGTGAAATTTTTAAAAAGTTCTAATTTATACATTTTCACTGACTTTTACCATTAATTTTTTTTTTTGTTATTCAACTTGCACGATTATTTTATAATTAGGAATATGATTTTGGCTGTGAATTTTGGCTGTGATTTGAGAATCAGGTTTACTAAAAGAAATCATATGTGTCAACATCTTAAGAAAAGTTAGTACAAAACAATGTCATCTCATAAATGTGACATTGCAAATTTTCTAAAACAAACTAAATATTTTGATTGGTTAAGTTAAAACTAAATAAATCTTATTTTAAATAAGAAAAAATATTTTATATCATATATGAATGAATTCTCATTATATCGCAAGAATTGAAAATTATAAATGAAACAAAAAAATAAATAGATAAAAAAATTATAAGTATCTTCTTTGCTAACTTTTTTATTATAAAAACTAACTTTTTATTATAATATTATATATATGAATAAAAAGAAGAAGTAAAAGTAAAAATAAAATTTTACAACTTTGGTTTTATGTAAAACTCTCAGGCTATATTTTTGGTTTAAAGCATCTCCAACCCACCTTTATTTTAAGTCTTCTAATTTAGAGAAAAAATAAACTTTGTTATTTTTCCATCCAATTATAGAGGAAAAAATAACAATCTTTTTTTTTCTCTGAAAAATAGAAATAGTTGGAGAGAAGTTCACTCATATTTTAGAGAAAAAAATAGAAACATATATTGGAGATGATCTTAATATATTATTAAATGTTAAGAAAAACAAAATATGAGTCAAAGAAGACAAAAAAAAAATAAATAAGAGTAAGTTTGATCGATTTTAAGTTTTTATCTAAAATATTTAAAAATATTGTCTTACACATCAATTCTTTCATGCATATATTTTTTCTAACATATTAAAACATAATTTCATGAATCAAGTTTTGTAAATCTTGTGATCCATTATATTTTATATTAACAAATATATTAATGTTAGTAACATGTTAACTCCTAATTTATAATAACAATCAAATATTAAATATATTATTTTACATCTTAAATCATACACATATAATTTTAGATCTGATTGGTTTAAACGATTCGGTTACAAAGAGTTTGTGGAAACGAGCGATTGCGGGGTATAAAAAATTTGATGAAGAGATGAGCGGAGAGCTACCGGAGAATTTTATAAAATATAATTTCACAAAATTTGTAATAATTTTTTATTATATTTTTATTGAGAAACCATATATCATCTAATACTGAAAAATAAGAAACTTTGATTAAATACAAGATAGAAACGGGTTTCATGATTGTTGCCCATTAAAAACTTATCAACACTTAAATATTACAATTCACTCATTTCTAACTCATATCTACATGCAGAAATATACTTATTATAATTTGTTTTAAAAAATCAACTATACATTATAAAAATATATATTTCAAAATATATACTTTGTTATTTTCTTTTAACACATCAAAACCATACTTCGATTTTTTTTTACAAATATGCGTGTAAATATAAATATTAATTGTGTAAAATTCAAACTCGCATGCAAACTTGTCGTGTATACATTTTGTTAACCTCGATTACACTCTAATTTTAATTTTAGTTGTTAGACAATTTATATTTTTTTTAAAAATACTTATATGCCCTAAGGTCGGTTCGCACGAACGTGCGGGCCAACCATCTACCTGCTCTTATGATAAATAAATATGGAAAAATTCATTTTGGTTTAATTAGCAATAGGTCAAGGAAAAATGTATACTTAAAATATATATATATTGGTAAGATTATATTATGTAAAGAGAAAAAGAAAGTATTATATAGATAATATTCAAAATATATTATAAGAATTTAATTAGTATCTAATATAATTTTTACATTTGCAATTATAAAAAGTTTTCAAAAGACACAAAACGATAAGAAACGTTTGTGTGATTGTTATTGAACACTAAAATTATATATGTATAAAAACATAACATATAAGAAAATTAATAAATATTTAAATATTACAACTAATTATGTCTATAAAAAAATTATATTTGCACATGCATGGGGGTCAAAAATAAAAATTAAATAAATAATTATATATTTTAATCTTTTCCCGTTTATTTAGTTAACATAAATACATTTTTTATCTAAAAAAATATTTAAAGTCTTAGTTAATATTTTTTAGTTTTATTTTCTGTTGAAATATAAAATATTTTATCTTTAATTTATCATTATTTTTTATTATTAAATGTTTATTATATTATTATTAATACATAATTAATTATATACAAATAAAATATCTTTAATAATATATTAATTATAGTTGAACATATAAAATGTTTTATAGCCTGCACACGGTGCAAGCCGATCACCTAATATTATTTTATTATTAAAACTCACATAATCTAATATAAAAAAAATATTTGAATAGCCAAAAAGAATTTATATAAAATTTAGAATATCCAAATAAAATCGATTCAAATTAATTTGAATTTTATTAAAGTTCAACTAAATATATGATTGCTTCCTGTGACATTACCTAAAGTATGTATTGAAACTTGATTTCAAGTTTGAATTTTATTAACGTTATTCTTTTACTCTTTTTTTTTTTACTTTATTCTTCAACTCTAGGTTTACTATTATGGGCAGCATTATCATTGCTTTGCGTATAGTCATGAACACGATCAGTGGATCATGTACGATGAAAAAACCGTGAAGGTAAGAAGTAATGAAATACTCTTGAATTTTCAGGCAGATACACTATTCCCACATTTTGTCACCCACATTTATGTGTAATATTTTTCAGGTTATCGGTAGCTGGAGTGATGTACTTTCTACGTGTGAGAGAGGACACTTGCAACTACAGGTTCTTCTCTACGAGAAATGTTAAATCGAAAAGAATAAAAAAGAACAGAGCAAGTACAGTTTAGGAGATCTCCCAAGTACAAACTGCAAAGAAAGTAAGTACTTTTTTTGGTTTCGCAATAGAAAACTAGAGCGGAAGGAATGAGGTTTAGTCATCAAGATTACTTTTTTTTTTGGTTAAGTGAGAAAATATTAGTGGTTCTAAGAGGTTGGGAAAGAAGATTTTGTCTTGGGATTAAGCAGTGTTTTAAATGGTAAAGAGGTCTTAGAAGGTGTCATGTGGTTATTTCTTGACTATATATATCATTGTCACATTAAGCATTTATTTATATGTTCATATAAATCAGTGCAGCTTTCAGAAAAAAAAAAGACAATCTACTCTGCCTTTTTTTGGTCGGTCATATGAAAAGTTATTTCATATCTCTCTTTATCTCTCTTTGTTTTCCCCAACTGGTGGGAAAATAAATAAAATATGCTCAGAAAGATATCCAGCTACAGATAGTGCCCAGGTTACATCAGCTTTGCAAAAGCGCACCATAACAGAGAAAATTGGTCACCAAAAAACAAAGACTGAAGAGAAAAATGACATTAGAGATTTTGTGAGTAGTTTGCCAAAGTCCACAAAAGACATTCCAATTGACATTATTCCAAATAAGAGATGTGATAAAAGGTTCTTTGGCTGTGCATTAAGACCGAACCTGTAGAATCTCTTAACACCCACGATCCACCACTCAAGGTCTTTGCCTTATTAGACCATGAAGCACCTATCTTCACTTTCAAAGAGCCAGATTGAGGAAGATTCCAAATCGGCCTAGCCAAACACACAACACCTTCAGCTCTAACAACACAGAATTCTCTTCAGTCACAAAACTATTCCTATTCTTCCACGACTTCCATAAAATCCACCTACGAGTTTCAGTAGGATAGAGGAAATTCTTATCAATAAGGAAGAAAACTGCAGATTGGCATATATATAGAGCCTTGATCAAAACCACTTCTGGGCAAAGAAATGTTAGATACATTTTTCTTCAAACCCATAGAATTGATATCTACAGAAAAAGAATATACATACCTCTGAAGTTCAACTTCTCGGTCTTTTTTTTTTTATGGATGGTACTCTCATTCACCAATCATTAAGCTAAGGATCCAGGCAAGAAAGACTATTGCTCACACATCTTTATAGTACTTGTTTATTGAGAGCATGACCATGGAAAATACTTCTCCAAACAAAACAAGATCAAGATTCTCGAGCAACTCGGAGTTGTCAAAATAACCTACTTTTCAAAACCTTAGCAGACAAACATTCTGGATTTTGAATCAACCAGGTAGATATGTCTCTCTATCTATTACATTTTTGTGTGAAATTAATATGTTCTTATTTTTATATTTATACTAACTTTCACCATTACATTTTTATTTTTGCTGTTTGACTTGCAAATCATTTTAAAATTAGGAATATAATTTTGGCTATGAACTTTTTTTCTTGGACAAAACTATGATTTCTTATTATTATTTTATTATAAAAACTCAAAATATCTAAATAAAAAAAATATTTGAATAGCCAAAAAGAATCTATATAAAATAAAGAATATCCAAATAAAATCGATTCAAATTAATTTGAATTTTATTATAGTTCGACTAAATATATGATTGCAAAAACATTATCTCATTTAAAATCTAAATAAACGTTGTACATTTTTACTTTGTACAAAGTACTAACTCAAAGTAAGCCAGTACTAATCCAAAACTCAAAAGTTCAATTCTATCAGTATCGAAACAAATAAGATTCCATCCATTTTTTAGTATATAAGCAAACAACAGTTTTTCAAATAACTATTATTAGTAAAGAAGAAACAAACTCAAAAATCAAAATAATAAATAAAAAAATCACAAAAAGAAAAAAATAGTCCCTGAAATTTCGTTAACATTTTTTCAATCCAATAGCAATCTTTTTTGCTTAGTCTTCTCCACACTCAGCAAAATCCGCTTATATACCAGACTCCTTCTCCTTCTTCCTTTCTCACTTAACCCAAAAACACCATTAACACGCAACCTACACACACTCATACAACATCTCTTTCTCTGTTCTGTAATCTCTTTTTCCCTCAATCTCTTTATCGATTCCTTCTCCATCGAATGAGCCACATAAAAATCATCCAGAATCCCATAGAGAGGTTTTTGGATCTTCTCTTGGTCAGTCTCATCATTTTCATGACTCTGAAAGGCGGCACGAGCGGGGCTTGTGCCGCGTGCAAGTATCAACGAAGACGCTGCGCCGCCGACTGTCCGCTCGCGCCCTACTTCCCAGCAGAACAACCGAAACTGTTCCAAAACGTTCACAGGCTCTTCGGCGTCAGAAGCATCGTGAAGATCCTCGAGACTCTCGACGAGGCTCAGAAACCAGAAGCCATGAAATCAATCATCTTTCAGTCATATGTCCGTGACCGTAACCCTGTCCACGGTTGCCTCGGAGTCACGCAACATCTACAGTATATGATCTGGGTCGCTGAGGAAGAACTCAAAGCCGTCAATTCACAATTACAGCTCTATCGAAACCAACAACAAAACAACAACAACAATGGTCAAAATCATCATAACCCTATGATTCATGAGATTGGTGAAAAGCAGCATGAAGATGTTACATCACAGCTCGACTTGGGAATGGGACTTACCGTTAACAACACACAGAGCAATGTAACACCTTTTTTCAGTCCTTTGCCAGTTTCTGAAACGCAGCAACAGCAACAAATGTCTTCTTACACTTATTGCAATGAGGTTAATAACAATGGCTATAGTCCTCCTCCTGCGTATACAGATTCCTGTAAGGAGATTCTCAACAGTAACAATAATGACTCTTTGGCTTGGGGTCAGAATCGGTTTCCTTATCATCATCATAACAATGGGTTCAGCAATCAAAACGAGAGCTGTAACGAGATGAAGAACAGTAACGGTGTGATGGCGATACAATCGCAGCTCGTTAATCTTCAGATGGTTTCGAATCAGCAAGAGGAAGAAGAAGACGATGTTCACGAGTACGATGAGATCCATCAGTTCCTAGAAATCATCGATGATAGGCAATCGTTCGCGGATTCGAAAGATGCTTACGCTTCAAGGTATGCATAGAGTGTTGTGCACGTTTCTATTTGTTTAGGTCTTGTCTAAAAGAAAAAAAATGTTTGACACGTGTGTTTGGTGGTTTTGCAGCTCCGGTGAATCGTTGAAGGAACCGATGAATGAAATGGGAGAGAACGAATTGAGGAGTGCGGCTAATTGCTTCAGTCTGACCAGTGTGAATTGATTTAATGATTGTTTCATGAGGAGGGAAAGTTGCGGCTATTCCTCAGTTTTGTGTTTTCGAATTTTGATTCCGATTTCGAATTTTTTTCTTATTACTTCCACAAACACATATAGTTACACGCATTGATTCTAAATTCTTTTTTTTAATCTTTTATCTTTTTTTTTAAAAATAAAATCTGAATCTCTTTTTAAAACTGCTAGATTGTCTTTTATTACCTTAAATCTAGTTAGATTCATCAGTGTTTGTTAAACGTGCATTACAAGAGGAAATTTTTTAGATATAAAATTTCAGTTGTAAATGATGATAAGGGGGGATGTCAATTTTTAAAGGTGCAATTTTGTTTTTCTGATTATAGATGCAAAATGATTGAAAATTCTAGCGTATTACAGCCTTACAGGTATGAAACACATACATTTTGTTTGATGTAGTGTAGACATTAAATCATCATTCCTAATAGGATAAATATCAAATATTTATGATAATGATGAATCAAATAAATCTTCCTTAAATATGGTGTTATTGTCTATTGTATTTTAAAAAATTCTTTTGAGATCTTATAATAGGATAAATATCAAATTTATATGCTAGTAATTAAATCCTTCAATGAAGAGCGCAAGTTTGAAGAAAGAGAAGGTGAGAGAAGAGAAAGCAAGACATTTGTTGTGTTGCTTGCGCTCAAAGAACTCAAGTGAGGAAACACCTACCTTGTGATACAAGTAAACTCGGAGGAAACAATATAGAGCTAGACATGGTCCAAATATATATATAGAGCTAGACTATATATAATGATGAAAAAAGATAAAATTTTATCATAATAATGAAACAAATAAAACTTCCTTAAATACGGTGTCATTGGCTATAATATTAGTAAAGGTCTCAGGATATTTTCATTTATGGTTCTTTTTTGTTTAGAACAAAGTTTTAATTTATGATTACTTAACATTAAATCTTTTGTTTCAACTAAAACAACATTTGTTTAGATGATAGTACTACTATTTCCTTTCCTTTTTTTGTTCAGTTATCTTAGTATTCCTTAAGAATCATAATAACAAATGTCTTATTGCATGACTTCAAATAATGTTCATTTAAAAAATGCTCCAAATTTTAACAAGAAAAAATATATATATATAATATAATATAATATTTTGCGTTGCAGTTTTAAAAACAGTCGTTTTCAACTCACGTGATATACAGATATTTTGTTTAGTCTGTCGTAATTGTGAAGGTAAAGTCATTCGCTCAGTGAATCACTATTCACTAGGTATAGAACGACAACGTTTTCTAGAGATTTCTTGTGGACCCTAATACCGAAGATGTAGATAGATGGTTGGAGAGATTTCTGGGGGATCGATCTTTCGACACATATTTTAAAGAAACGACAGCGTTTTATACGGACAGGTCTGTAAACTGCTAAAAGCCTGCAAGTGTCAACACATCAAGAAAAGGAAAAAAAAAAACAAAAAATTTCTGTGGCGACCGAAACAAGTGAAGAGAGAAATGTTAGTATTTTCCCAAAGCTTCTCTCCACCTGCAATTACAAGGTATTATTGTTGAATCTCAAGTAATTGCTTATCTGGATCTGGTTTAGTGCTGCTTATTTGGATCTGGTTTAGTGTTGCTATTGCCTGTTGGTGTGGTTTATTGTATCTTGGTTTACAGTGAGAGTTTGCTTATTATGGAGGTTTGATCCGTTAAATCGAATCCAATTCAAGCTAACGAGAGAGGTCCAAATGTTTCTGACACAATCAGATGCTGCTCTTCTTCCAAAGGGTTTTTGAAGAAGAAGCCTGAGTTAAAATGTTCCTTGGAGAATCCCATTGAAAGCCAAGCTTTGAGAAAGCGTTTTGTTTCTGGGTTTGCTGCCATTTTGCTTCTCTCTCAGACAGGCCAGGTATGTTTCGAGCCGACATTGCCATAAGCAGTTTACTGTGCATTCAAAAGCATTCAAATTTCTGAGTTTTCTTTGGGGTTCTGTTTTTTTAACATGCGGCAGGGTGTTGCGTTGGATCTCCCGTCGTCTGGTCATCAGAACATTTGCCAACTAGGGAATGCTTCTGTGGAAGAAAACAAGCCGACTCTTCCGATTGATGACCCGGAAACGATGATGATGATGATGATGATGAGAGGCATGACTGCTAAGAACTTTGACCCAGTCAAGTACTCTGGAAGATGGTTTGAAGTAGCTTCTCTTAAGCGTGGTTTCGCTGGTCAGGGCCAAGAAGACTGCCATTGTACTCAGGTACACACTTTGTTTCGTCAACTATACATTACCCACTTCTATGGTGAACCACAAATTTGCAACATGTAATAAAAAAAAACAGAATTTGTATTCATCCCTTTGCAGGGCGTGTACACGTTTGATATGAAGGAACCATCTATCCGAGTAGATACGTTTTGTGTACACGGAAGCCCTGATGGGTATATCACAGGAATCAGAGGAAAAGTTCAATGCGTTGGAGCAGAGGACTTGGAGAAAACTGAGACTGACTTAGAGAAGCGAGAGATGATCAAAGAGAAGTGTTTCCTTCGATTCCCAACGATTCCTTTCATCCCCAAGTTGCCTTATGATGTTATAGCTACCGATTACGACAACTACGCTCTTGTCTCTGGAGCCAAAGACAAAGGCTTTGTTCAGGTGAGTTTCAAGACAGCAAAACTCTCATGTGTTGTCACAGGCTTTTACATAAACTTGATGGGGTTTGTTTTTGTAATGTCAGGTATATTCAAGAACACCTAATCCAGGACCTGAGTTCATAGCCAAGTACAAGAACTATCTGGCGCAGTTTGGGTATGATCCGGAGAAAATAAAGGATACTCCACAGGATTGTGAAGTGATGTCTGATGGTCAGCTAGCTGCTATGATGTCCATGCCAGGTATGGAGCAAACGCTGACAAACCAGTTTCCAGATCTTGGATTGAGGAAGTCTGTCCAATTTGATCCTTTCACAAGTGTGTTTGAGACCTTGAAGAAACTTGTCCCGCTCTATTTCAAGTAGACCGGCTTCTTTTCTCCAAGCTTTTGAATTCTTCTTGTAGATATGCTTACTCCTTGTCCATATGCTTATTCACACGACTGAGTGTAATACATATAAATATATATATATATATATATATCTTCCAGAATCAAACATTCTTTTCTACTTGAGTTCGTACCAAACAATCACAGAGCCAGGCAAAGACTGTTCTTTTATATAAGCTTTCTTATCAAAGCAACCATTTTTACAAAGCTAATATAAAATGCAACCATTGAAAGATATTCAATTTGAATCTCGGTTCAACAAGTGTAATTATCAAAGAGAATGAATGATTCAACAAGGATCCATTGATTTGTTCCAAGGTAAAGCTTTACATATGTACAGTAAACGCTGATGTTGATGTTCTCATCTGTTTTCCTTTTCTCACAAACATCATAAACAGAAGAGCAAAATGTACCGTTGTGTCATCTCTTGTTGCAGCAATGAGGTTTGCCCGTCAAGACCAGTTTATCCCACAAGCAGATCATCTGTCTAGGCGATTGGTAATGCGCCGTTAAGTAATTCTCTATGCAACCAAACTGGCAGAAGTTTAGGCTGTGAGCATAATCCACAGATTTCACGCTGTTGTTGAACTGTTCCACCCACATTCCCACGCTCACGTCTTCCATTTTGAATAACTGTTAACAGAAAAAAAAAATATATGTATACAGTATTACACATTACATGGTTAAAGTGTCTTTCTTGTCTCTCTGATACTGTTTTCCAAATGAAGATGATCGATTACCCTTAGTTTGTGTTGCTCAAACTCTTTTACGATGAAGCGTGCGATATCTGTTGATAGTATGTAGCCAGGACCATTGGCATAAGGTGGATAATCTTCCTCTGGCCATTCCTGGAGACCCAGTTGAACAAAACTGTGTAAGACTGTTATATCTGATATCTCTAGAACCACAAAGAAGAACAGCACATACTGAAATGCATCTGTCTTCCCTGTTCTTTATTACCTCATATGAAACAGCCCATTTCCCCTGGCGAAGAGGCTTGTGATAGTAATTAATGTTGCCAATGTATAAGCTTCGGTTCATTGGTGTTTTCTCTGCTTCACTAAGAACCGCATCTACTCGGACAAATGTGTCATCATCGCACTTCATTATGTACTTGGCAGCCAACTGATGAGCCTGCAACCAAAACAGAAGAAGAGTTTTTCTACAATGGATCATCATTGAAGATATGGCATCATCTTTTTTTGACTCATTGATTCTTGTATTAAAAAAAACTCACCCCGTACTCGCAGATTGCAACAGTTTTCAGGACAACCAGGTCATAGCTGTCCATGTAAGGCACTACAATTATGTCCCCAAAGAACTCAGCTTCCTTCTTTAGCTCCACATTGATTGACTTCCTTGAGTGCTATGTATATACCAAAGTTCTGCATCAGTTTGAGACATAAAACGACTAATCTCAAAGAATCTACACTGCAATTTATCTAAACTTACCAATGCCACAAAGAACCGAGCCACCACTTTGGAAGATCTGATAAGTTTATGCTGCATCCAAGACTTCCTCACGGCCATCCGCTCAGCAAAATGGTTACCCGCAGAGAGGATCCCAATGAACAACTCAGCTTCCTCATCAGGAAGTGATGGAGACTGCCACTTGCTCGAGAGCTCAAGATGCCTCTGAGTACAAAATTAGGGTGCGAGGTTGGGAGAGAGCCAGCAAAAACCGAGTCAACATCTATGTCCCCAGTAATAGTTAGACCAGTAGCATCCTCAAGCGTAAAACCCTTCATATGGCCAAAAACCACACACAATAATACCACTTTCTGATTGTTATTACTACTCCAAAAGCAATCCACAAAGTACTCTGAAGTAACGCTTACTGTTCGGAAAGGGAAAGATGTGACATGTTTCCCATTGGCATTAATATGATAACCCTCCAATCCAGCACTGAGTGTAAGCACGAAGAGCTTTTCCTCGGTAAATGGAAATGGCCATTCTACAGTTACTTTCTTGCTCTGGCGTATATAACGACTAAGCCACCATGTTGGCTTGTTAGGCTCTTCTTTAAAAGAAGTATCATCTTCTCGAATCCACTTCTCGCACTTAACCTGACCATCAACTGTGAAACAAAGGTCACTCTTTAGTCATATCTGTATAACTCACGCCAACTAATCATGGAAAGTCAAATGCTTTTCAAAAAGTTTTGACTCACCTGTTTTTTCATCATCACTAGATCTCCAGCCTTCACATCGTTGAGCCAAGCTCCACTGCATCCTATAGCAAGTGTTCTGCTCAACCACAGGCTTACCACTCCAGTCACCTTTAAGCCTTGGATTGAAGTGAAGAATCCGAGGCGGATCTTCTCCTTCCACTGCCTTTAACCCTTGCAGCTCCAGCATAAACTGTGAAACCTTCACAGCTTCATCTTCTTCATTCAACATTGATATCTTTGGGTCCATCTCTGAGTGTGCAGCGCGTGGCTTTGCCACCACTGTGATGTGTGATCCGAGTGCTAACCCACAAGGAAGCTCAATGAGGTTACCACGGGCCAAAAGATCCGACCCGGATAAAGAAACCGAGACCGGGCACGAGCTGGAGCCAAGTTTCTCAGTCTTCTTCTTCTCCTCCTTCAAGGCTTTTAAGGTTTTTCCAGATTGCAGCTCTTCCCATAGCTTTCTACCAACTTCCCAAGCTACCTTGGCGGATTCGTGGAGCTTCAAGGACTCGTCTTTGCTACTCGGGTCGAATGTTTCCGGGTCAAATTTCAACCCGGATATAATCTCTGACATTCTTCTCCGTTCTACAACCATAGCTCGAGCAGGCGCTTCAGATTCTGTTTCTTGGTGGATCAAGCTCCTAAAAGGACGTCCTGGAGCTCGTCTCTCTTGCAGATCCCACTCGCTACCGAGCTTCTCGGGTCGGGTTAACGGATCCTGCGATAAAGTATTGAACCCGGTTCTATAAACGACGGGAATTTCGAGCGTGACGAGAATCATGTACAATACACCGACCGCCATTAGTATCTGAATCGATCTCTTCTTGCTGAGAGACACAAACATGGCGAATTTCTCAGGCTTTTCTAGTTTTTATAGCTTTGGGTTCCAAATTTGTTATTGCCGCTTCATCTTCTTACTCAGAGATCAAAATCAAACGAAGAATCCGTGGAAACAGAAACCCTAGACTCGGATTAAGAAACAATCAATGATTCTAGTGAAGTAGAAGTGAAACGAATTTCTCACGCTTATAAATTCAAATAGTTTATGGAGGAATCACTCAATGAACATAGAGAGAAAAAGAAGAAGCAAATGAATGTTAGAAGTTCTTGCGAAATACTCAAAATTTGAAGAAAACCGAAGGTAAGATGAACAAATTTCTTAAGAAATTCAGAACTAAAAGAGAGCAAAAGAGGTTAAATCTTTATTAACAGAGAGAGGCAAGCCTTCATTGCTATTGCTATGATTTTCTGACTTTTCCAGAAAACCGCCGTTATGGTCAAAACTTTTTTGAATATTGTTTTTTCTTTTTCATTTAGTTTTTCAAATTTAAAGTTTTGTTGGATTTCTATTCCCCAACGGTATTATTTTGAAAATTAAGTCGAAAATAACTTTTTTATAACTTAGGAAAAGTTTTTTTTTTTTGAACATTTGCTTACTTACGAAAAGTATTGTTTTCATTTTTTTCAATATTGAAATTTCTCATCTGCGATTAGATATTAAAATTATTAAAATTCGTGATACATCCATGCCAAAAAAAATACATCAATTGTTTTTACCATGAAAAAAAAGGGAAAGACTAATCTAATTGATTTTAAACTAATTATTTTAATTGTACATAGGGAAATTGACTCCAATGATCATAAAAGAGTTGAAATTCAGAAAATAATCATAACAATTGAAATGTTATATTATTCATTGTATTTTTTTACAATATATACGAAAATATCCTTTTCATTTTAACGATTTTTTCTTTTCTTTTTTTCCCCTCTTCTGTGATTTTCTTCCCTTCTCCTCCCTCTCCTTTTCCGATTCTGATTTCCCCTCCTCCTCTTCCCCTCCCCTCTCTTCTCCTCTCCCTTCCTCCCCTTTCCCTCCCCTCCCTTCTTTTTCTTTCACTTCTCCTTAAAGAATAACAGGTTATACTATACAAATTATATGAAACAATCATTTTTGTAAATAGTATAGTATGACAATAAAAACATTCAATTACTATACTATATTAGTTTTGTCAGAAACAAAACATATATTATAGCATAGTTCAGAAGAAAATATAGACAATATGTGTTTCTACGATATTCTCACGTAAAGAAAAAGGAGATTTTAGTAATTTTCATATGGGTCATAGTTAGTTTGCATATTATTTGAATATCATGGCTATATTCTTTGATTGTTTTTCAAATATGGTTATAGAACGAAAAAGTTCTTGTACATATGTTGAATATTTTTAATTTTTTATGCCCCAAAAAAAAGATCAATGGCTGAGATACCCTCCTCATAAAACTTTTGAGCTGAAATACCCTTGTTATATTTGATAATTTCTTTGTGATTTATTTTTTAAACCAAAACGTAGTCAATGTCCTTTAAACCCTTAATGAATATGAGATATTACAATCCATCCATAACAAAATCGGGTTACCTATCCAAACTCAAACCAAATGAATCTCACAATTTAATAACTAATTAAATTTAAAAAACTTTTTCTTGTTGTCGTCATCTTCTTCGTATGGATTCCAGAAAAATAAAAATCCAATTATGTGTGTTCCATTCCCATTAATCAGAGTTCGTAAGTCCTATATCTAGGAGATACAACTATGATAGATTCGCTTTCAATTGTGGGGTCCAGTTTGATCTATTTTCGCCAATGTTTACCATCTCTTTCCTGTTTGCAACCAATCTCCGCTGTGTTCTTATATTTTTTGGGACTTTATTTACTCGACAACTATCAATTAAATGAGCTATGATCAAACGCTTCTTCGAGGGCATAAGTCCCAATTGCTGAAAATGTGAGAGAAAAAAATGCTTACTTTTTTTAGTGTTTCCAGCCATTCATTGAGAACAGCAACATCAACATTTGCAAACAACTCAATCGACACACTACGACCCAAATCCAAATCTGACCCAGGTCCAGAACTAGTGCAATCGAGCTTTTCCTCCAGCCATGTCGGGCTATACAAGAAGAAATCGTACAGAAACCTTCCTTGAGGAGTTAATAGCGCCGCATACATAGGCGGCGTCGCTACAAAAGCCATGTTCGGAGTAGGGACCGTCAAGCTTTTCTCGCCGGTGGATTCACTGAACCTCGGTACATCGTTGGTCAACAAACCCTGAAGAAACTTAACTGTATCTGGTCCGCTAAACCAGACAATGGAACAGGATTTAAGCTGAGACGCCATTGGACCCGCATCTTCAAGATTGTTATGTTTCTTCCGGCAAAAAATCCGGTATATTTGCAGATTTTATGACGGAAATTAAATCGAAGCATTCTATTTATTATGTGAAGTGGTTTTATTCTTCGTCTCTGTGGTTAAAGTTTAACCGTTAAACCACTGCCTTGAGAGAGAAAGCTTTGAAGCAAAGACACGGGAACTATACGTGGCGGCGAAATTGATCTTTTATTCTCACATGTGTAGTTGAACTATGGAAGTTGTGTGGTTGCATAGGAAGTATTGATGAAATTACTGACCCAAACAAAAATATATACAGTATGTATATATATATTGACAAACTTTTTTAAAAAAATTATATGTGTCACCAAATTAACACGTGCGCCATTTTTTGCTTTTGTAGGCGCCGTCAAAATTACACTTAGTTATCCATAGTTTTTTAGTTGTACCAATTTGCAAATAGTTGTACTTTTCGATGTTTTCAACTTTATTTAGTTTTACTTTATATTGAATTTTCTATTTGTAGTTTTACAGATGAGTTTAATCATTATGCTGTTGATTCTGAGGTTTTTATGCGTAAAAATGTTTTGAAACTCATCGTATGTGTCTTTGACTTCATATGATAGTGTTCATAGAACTGTATGGTGTTTGTTGTGTAAATGTCCTTATAACAAATAATTATACCATCAATTTAGGTTAACCAGTTAATACATGTTTTTTAACTACTTAATAGTTATTTATCTAACAAAAATTTGTTTGTTTCATATTGAATGTTCATTTTTCTAATAATTTTTTAATTCAAATAAAAAATTGTCTCTTGAATACTATCAGTTGCACCAGTTGTGCCTAGTATTCTAAAGACACAAAATAAATACAAACGAGTTACATAGTTTAACCAGCATCACTATTACCACTATACAAATATGACAAAATCCCTCCTCTTCCTCTTCTCCCTTTCTATTCCTCTCCCTCTTCCTCGGTGTTCTCCAATTGATGGGAACCGGTTTTTTTTGAGTTTTTCCTTCCTTTGCTATATAATCCGGTTGTATAACAACCAGATTTGTATATGGACAGGAACAATCCAATTAGACTTGTGTGGTACTGGATAAATCGTCCTGCAATACGCTAGTGTTCATAGCTTCATCAAATAATATCCAATATCCCAATTTTTCTCAGTAATATCTGCTGTCTTAGTAATACTAGTTGGTCCAGTAATACCCAACTCATGTACCCAGAAAATTTATATTTATCTACGAATCTACAATGATTTACTACGATTCGTGATTCGATGCACGTTTAACGATTATAACTGGTCATATTTAGTGATGTAAGACTCTTACCAAAGAATTTCAATAACCCAATAATCCAAAAGAAATCAGAACTATAGCGCCATGAAAATGCAAGAGAAATTATTGTTTTCTTTTTATTTATTTTTTTTGTGTTGAAATATTATATTATTAAATTAAAGATGAAGAATGAGAGAAAAATAGAGAGAAAAATAAGAGAGGAGTAGTCAGATTATAAGGGGGATAATGAGATTATTTCTAAACACATAAGGATATATTAGCTCTTCACCCCTAAAAAAATGTATTAATTTATATATTTTCCATATATTTTCCAGCCAGATTCTCATATCACAGCTCCTCCCATACCACATGGTGATCCCCATCTAAAGATTCGGATATGGAAACTCCAAATAATGCCTAAACTCAAACATTTCTTATGGCGAATCCTCTCAAAAACTATTGGAACTGCTACTAGACTCCAAAGCCGTGGAGTTGCGATCCTGACCACTTGTATTCGCTGCGGAACCGCACCAGAAACAATAACCCACATTTTTTTCGAAAGCCCCATCTCTATATCAACGTGGAGAAGGGCCAACACACCTTTTCTTTTTTTGACTAATATCTCACAGGATACAGAGAGCATTATACGACTCCTCCTTGATGCCCAAATAATTGATGGATTAGATCCAAAGGACAAGTTACTTCCCTTTTGGATTCTTTGGCGCATATGGAAGTCAAGAAATAATCTCATTTTTCAACAGAAGAATATTATGATTGGCAAAGATGTTAACAAAGCTATAGCAGATGTGAATGTCTGGATCAACAATACGACTACACCACATCTACGCTGTGGAGTTACCTCACCTTCTCTGCAAACATGGTCACGACCACCCATCGGTTACATAAAATGTAATTACGATGCTGCTTTTAATCCTCATACCACTCATGCTTCTGCTGGATGGATTCTTCGAGACAGCAACGCCAACAACAAATACTGGGGAGCTACAATGTTGGATAATACGAGTTCGTGCCTTGAAGCTGAAGCAAAATCATTACTAGTCGCCATTCAACATTCCTGGATTATGGGTTACGACTCTGTTATTTTTGAAGGAGACTGTCTCCAGTTAACAACCTTAATCTGAAATAATGACACTGATGTTACCATAAGTAATTTATTAGATGAAATTAGATCTTGGGTTTTAAAGTTTCATTTCTTCCAAATTACTTATGTAAAACGAGATTGTAATACTATAACTCATACTTTAGCACAAAAAAGACCTCTACATATTCTTTTCCTTTCTAGAACTGTTTATCCTCCATCTTGGATAACTAATTTTCTGTATCATCTTCATTCTATATAAATACCAATTTGCAGTAAAAAAATAAAAACAAAATATTTAGATGGTCTCAGTGGGCTTACAGCGGCCCAAATTCATAGTTTGTGAATACTTAAAAACGGCACACGTTTCTTATTTTTCAGAGCGAAACGTTATGCAAGTCGAGATCCCATCGTCTTATGACCACGTTAGCAGAACGAAACGGCGAATTCGACGAACGGAGCCCCGGAAAAAGATGGTGGCGATATCGATGTACAGAGGCAACCTTCACAAAGTTCCCGACGTGCCTCGCCGGTGGAGAATGCCGGAGCGTAATCTCTCTTTCAAGGACTTCAAATCTCTCCTTCATCGCCGTAAACGAGCTCTTTCTCGCCTCCCCCTTAATTCGAACCCTAACCTGAGCCTTAACGTCAAGACTGAGTTGGTTACCGATGCTACCGATGCGATGCCGTCTGAACGGTCCGGTTCGTCTGGGAAGCAGAAGCTGGTTGACGTGAAGAGAGAAGTGATTGGTGGGAATCGTGGTAGGGAAGATGAGAATGGCAGATTTGATGGTTTTGAAGAAGCTCGAGCAGGAGGATCAGACGGTGGAGATCGTACCGGGAGAGTGACTGAATTGATATCGATTAAGGAAACCGAAGATCTGTCACACGAGGATGCGGCGAACGAGAAGGCCGAGGTATGTTGAATTTCTTTGATATTAACCTCTTTTTAGATATTACGATGGATTTTGAGTACAAAGTAGCTGATTTGAAACTCGAATCGCCATGCTCGTAGAGAAAATGTTGGTGCTTACGGTGTAGTACATAGGTAGATTCGGAAAGCTTGGTCAATATTGGTGAATTCATCAGTTAAGTGGCAGATTTGTTGAATTGTAGTAATCTCATTGCTTAAGCGAATCGGCTATAATATGCTCAGAAGCAGGATAATACTTTGATGTGTGCTTCAAGTAGTTTAAGTTGCATTGATGGATGTTGTGATGCATTGAGCCTGTAGATGAAACAATCAGCCACGATAGAGTTGCCCATTTTGGCTTTCATGAGCTCGTAAATTGTTAGACTTCTGTGAGATTGTTCCGTTTTTTTTTACCTTAGATGACACCAAATCAGTGAAGTCCTTATCGTTCTAGGTCTTTTTTTTTTCACCAGCCAAAGGAAACAGCTGAGGAAGGACCAAGCGAAATAGAGAAGAAACAGAAAGAAGTGGAAGAGAGATTACAAGTGTTGAACGCAAAGAAACACAATCTAGTCCAAGTGCTTAAGCAGGTTAGTCCAATGTATGTTCTTCTCTCTCTATAGTGGTGTTTCAAGCTACTACGAATACCCATTTATCGAAGAAGTAATCATAATTTACAAATGTAACCAATACACAGATTTTGAATGCTGAGGAAGAACTAAAAAGGCGCAGCATCATACAACAACAAGGAACAACAGCGACTCGTCCTTCCTTACCACTCCATGTTGATGTCTCTAATGACTCGGGAGGTAATGCTGGTGCTCACATGGAAGGCGGAGAAACCGACGATGCAGGGAATCATAATAATAATGCTCAAACTCGCACCGTGCTTCGACTATGCGGTGCGTCTTCATCATCTGAATCTCCTCTCAGAAGAGCAGCAGCCTTTTCACAACACAATATGGTAAAATTCCTCCATCTTACACAGCAAAAACTCGAATATGTTGGATTCAAAGTAAAACTTGGCCTCTCTTTTTCTTCTTGATCAAAAATCGCCGTATGTATATATGGTTGAGACTGTTGTTGCTGTTTCTCAGGCTCCGCATACTTCTCGTTGGAGCCCGCGAGTAGGTCCATCGCAACCCGTTAACCCGAGTACTGCAGCGGTGACTGTATCTGCATCTGGAACAAACTACATTGCTTCATCTCCTTCACCAGCTGGTTCTGGTGGCACTTCTGTTTTCAGAGAAGCACGGCTACAGAGTCCATGGAACTAGCAGCTTCTCCTCTATCGCTGTACTAACTTCTTCATTTTGTAGCTGTGAAAAAGAAAAACTAATGTGAGATTGATGGTGTTCATATCGATTCATGTATAAATATGATGTTTCGGAGTCTCATCCATATCTACCTATTAGTAGTTACTCTCAATTTTTCTGTCAGGGTATGACAACTTTTTAAGCATTTTACAACAGAATCACCAATCAAATCGCTATTTTCTATACATAGAAGACCGGACTTTAATCTCATATGCCCTTCCGTACACCCACCAAAATCTCACTGCCCCCCTTTAATCTCATTGCCCCTCTCTTCATTGAATTGACTATCTTACCCTTAATGAATAAAAAAAAAAAATCAAAAAAAAATGAAAAAAAATAAAGGAATTTCGGGTGGTTTGATAAGAAATTTAATTCAAACCAACCTAAAATTAATTGTCTAAACCAACCAAACTAACCATCAAAATTTTTGCACCTTTCATCGTCGTCTTCTTCCTCATGTTTCCACCATTGACAAAATCAGAGGTGTGAAATTGAAAGTTAGTTGTTGCTGTTTCTTATACTATTTTCGATTTCTTGATTGAATTATCAAGTTTATGTCATAGGCAGAGCAAATAATACATAATTTCTTCTCAATTAGAGAATTTCATAGTAAAGAAAATTTTGATTTTTTTTTTGCTCATTGGAGCTGCTGAACTAGTTGGGTAATGCTATTAGAAACTGATATTGTTAATTAAATATGATATCTTGGTTAACTGAGCAATGAATCGTAAAAACTAGTGATGATTCGTATGATGAACCAAATTTCTGGGTACTACTGGGTACAACTAGCACAACTGGACATATTAAGTGAATTAGTACGACTAGGATGAACCAAACTTTCTGGGTACTACTGGTATAACTAGCGTAATTGGACATCTTAAGTACGACTAGTAAAACTGGTACAACTATGATAAGATTACCTTACGATTGTTTTGTTCTTTTCAGGGGAAATGAGTAGCAGTGGTTGCACAGTCATATGTTTTGATTATGGGGGGTTCTATTCAAAAGATGGTGATAAAGTTATTTGGAATTCTGTAGAAGATGAGATTCACACTTTAGTGATGAGGAAATCTTTGGAGGATGTCACTTATCTTGGATTAGTGGAGGGAATTTGCAGAAAGGTTTTGATAGATGCACCTACATCTCAGCTGAAAATTAGTTACTATCCAATGGTCTTGAACACGAAGAAACCATCATATATTTGGAATGACGAAAATATTTTTGGTTATCTACTACAAATGAGTAAGGATCAATGTAGAAGTGTTCTACATGTGGAGTTCACCAAGGATGTTGATCAAAGTCATGGAAGCGTGCATGTTTCAAGAGAGGATCATGGAGTTGACGTTGATGCAGGTCCAAGTAATGATGAGATGTTTTCTACCGCTAGAGATGGTTTAGAAATACCGGACAGTGAAATGCAAGACAATGAAATGCCAGACAATGAGATGCAAGAAAATGATACAGATCTTCTACAAAGATATGAGCTCGTGTATGATGATGATACAGAAGTCAGACATTCTGATGGAAACTCGCAAGTAAGTCATGGATGGGAAGATGGTTTAGATATATATAAAGGTCAAGAATTTGACATTAGGCAGGGACTGCAAGCTCTCCTGCAGAAAGGTGCACATGAGAATGGTTTTGAGTATGAAACGAAAAAGTCTGATCCCACACGTTTCGTGGTAAAATGTTTGGGAGCAAAAGAGGGATGCAAGTGGGGTTTAAGAGCTTATGTGCGTATGAACTCAAATAGTTTCACTATTGTCACTTACAACAAGGTGCACACATGCTCTCGGGTTACTACAAGTACAATCAAACAAAAAAGGAAAGGCACACCACACTTAGTTGCAACTGTTTTGGCTGAAGACTATCCAGGTCGATTCGACGCACCAGATCCAAAAACGCTGATCAATATGGTTCAAGGCAGGCTTGGCGTGAAAGTATCATACTCGACAGCGCTGAGAGGAAAAAACAAAGCTGCTAATGAGGTGCGGGGAAGTTCTGAGGAGAGTTATCGGTGGCTATATTCTTATTTGTACATGCTAGAGAAAGTGAATCCGGGTACACAGACTTGTGTGGAATTAGATGAGCAGAAAAGGTTTAAATACCTATTCTTTGCATTGGGAGCTTGCATAGAAGGGTTTCTATCGATGAGGAAAGTCATCATTATAGATGGAACCCACCTGAAGAACGTATATGGTGGAGTTCTAATCGTCGCTTCAGCTCAGGATCCTGATTATCATCATTATCCCATTGCTTTTGGTGTAGTTGATGGTGAGAAAGATGCAAGTTGGATGTGGTTTCTGAATCAGTTGAAGTCAGTAACACCAGATGTCCCTGGAATGGTGTTTATTTCGGATAGGAATCCAAGCTTGATTAATTCAATAAGGGAAGTGTTCCCTCTGTCTCAACACGGGTATTGTGTAAGGCATTTGTCACAGAATGTGAAAGGACACGTTGCCACCCACAGAGATGCATGTGCGAAGAAGTTCATCGAGTGCGCTAAAGCTTATACATAGATTGAGTTCGGAAAACTCTATAGTGCTTTTAGGATGAAATATCCATCTGCTGCCGAGTATCTAGACAAAAGTGCTGATGAGAAAAAATGGGCAAAATGCTATTTTCCAGGAGAAAGGTACAACATAGATACCACCAATAGTGTAGAATCTATCAATGGTGTTTTTGTAAACGCAAGAAAGTACTCGCTGTTGCCAATGATTGATGTAATTGTTGCCAAATTGGCTGAATGGTGGAACACCCATAGGCAGAGTGCCGCTGAAGTCCCACTGTCACAGAAGCTTGTGCCTTCCGTGGAGAACGAAATGGATCTGAGATGTGTGGATGCAAAGAAACTCATGGTGCAAGAGTTAAACAGCTATCTCCATGAATACAATGTGATTGGGCTTGATGGGAAGAATTATTTGGTTGATATGACTAGGAAAACTTGTTCTTGCAAGTATTTTGATATAGATAGATACCCATGTGTGCATGCAATTGCTGCTGCCATCCATATGAGCAGAGATAGGGAACTTCATCTACAAGAGTTTTGCTCTAAATATTATTTGGTAGAGCTATGGGCATTGGCATACTCCAGGACAATCTATCCAGTTCCTCATATGTCTGAATGGGTTGTACCTGAAGAGATACAATCACAAGAAGTCTTACCTCCGGAATATGAAGTAAAGAAAGGAAAACCGCAACAGAAAAGATTTCCATCAGCTGGAGAACATCGTGGAAGAGGAAGAGGAAGAAGAGGTAGAGGAAGAGGGAGAGGTGGACGCTGGGCTCAATGGTTTGGGATTGATGGAAGTGAAGAGTAATTTATGTCTTTGTTTTAAATTATTTGAACTATGTGTGCAACTTTGTATGACCGAAACTTGTATCCATGTTATTTCTATCAGGTATGACTAGGCACCACTAGTACAACTCTATATTCCGCGTCTAATATGTCTGGTACGACTGGTGCGACTAGTACCACTCGTTTCAAGTACAACTAGTTCAACTACATTTTAGTTGTACTAAAATCCAACTGGGAAGACTGGTACGACTATGCTTTCTACAAAAATGTCAATAACACAAGTTGTAAATGTATTTGTAAACATTTTTCCATATAGAATAGGCCATAGAACATTTGCAAACATATTTGAACATTTTATAGTTAAATAAATTTGATCCACGAAAATGTTTGATCCATGAAAATGTGTTCTCTACACAATCTACCTTATACTTTTAAGGTTACTTTGTAAATCTTAACCACACAAACATGAAAACCATGAAAGTTTGTATTTTTATACTAGTTATAGCATTAGAATATTAGTTTATTTACAAAATTTTACAAGTACAGCTAAAAATGTTTAATTTAGGTATGATACTACTGATTACAAAATTTTACAACTTTATGTCTTTAGGGTACAACTCAAAACTGGGTACAACTATGTTATAAAAAAACTGGGTTCAATTTTTTTTTTTTTTGACGGCGCAAACTTGCAAAGATATTCATTTCCTCTTTTGACGGCGCATGTGACTTCATATTTTATCCATTTTTAACTTTATTTTAAACATGTTTTTTTTGCATGCACACGTTTTTTTTGCTGCCACACGTTTTTAAAATTCAGATCTAGTTGGTCTAGTTCTGCTAGTCATACCTTTTAATTCAACACATCAAAAAAGACTTGCATAAAATATATATGTCCAAATCCTGAAAAACACAAAGATAAATTCTAACATAGCAGATAATAACACAACAGAAGTTCAAAGGCCTAAGTTACTTAATAACAATCCTTCAACAACCGTGAACGAGTAACCTTCCTTTTTCGCTTGGGAGTCTTACTCTTCTTAATTAATTTCTTTGCTGCTTGGGCTTGAAGACTAGGTCGTTTCTTGATCTTCACCTTCCTAGGAGTTTGGACTGTATCGGCATCGTCTCCACCTAACAAAAACAAACAAAAATCGATAAAACTCATTATATCAACAAAAATCGATGAAACTCATTATATCGGCACTTACCAGCTAGAGCCTTTTCCATAGCCTTATCCACAGCCGCTAACACTATCTCCGCAGCTGCACTAGCCTCAGCCGCCACAGTCTCCACGGTCTTCGCAGCCTCCATCATCTCCGAAGCTGCCGCAGCCTCAACCTCAGCCTTCTCCGCAGCCTCAACCTTCTCCCTCTCTACAGCTGCCGCAGCCTCCGCCTCAGCCTTCTCCGCAGCCTCCTTCTCCACAGCCTCCTTCTCCGCCTTCTCCTTCTCTTCAGCTGCGGCTCTCTCCGCCTTCTCCCTCTCTACAGCCGCAGCAGCCTCCTTCTCCGCAGCCTCCTTCTCCGCAGCCTCCTTCTCTGCAGCCTCCTTCTCTGCAGCCTCCTTCTCCGCCTTCTCCTTCTCCTTCTCTTCAGCCGTGGCTCTCTCCGCCATCTCCCTCTCTACAGCCGCAGCAGCCTCCGTCATCTCCTCTTCAGCC